CAAACTCCTCAAGACACACAGGGCATTCAACAACTTTGCAGGCACCATTCTCACTATCAGGCGAATCAATAATATGAGCTGACTTTATTGGAATGCCACAGTATAAACAACGAGTAGGTAACACCCATTCACTGGCTGGGTCCCAGAACCATTGTAATTCATGCCATCTCTTCCCATCCCATATTTCCTTTTTCAAATGATAGTCTTCTGAAGTTCCAAGCCAATGATCCTTTTCATGCCAAGGTGCAAGCATCTTTTCACATAATGTTACATTTCTAAACCAGTTCTTAATTTTACTCTTAAGACCCAAGTACAGATACTTTATGGAACCAAAACTGCCACAATGAGTACACTTGTCATCTTTGTTTTCCATAATACTAAAGTTACCAGAATATACAGTTTTCTTAGTTGTCAAACCATTTCTTGTGACTTCTTTCTCCTCTGAACAGAAACAAATAACTCATTAGCGTCCTGATACCCCTCTTCCTTCAAAAGACGTTTAACATCATTCCAGCTTTTGGGCCATAAGGTTAATATAATGTCAGCATCAATGTTCTCATTGAGTGAAGTAAATAATAATTGCTTTCCATAATCCAAAATATCGTTAAATGTTTTCACTSACGATCCACTTTCATATTTTATTTTAAGCGCGTCCAAAACTGCTTTAACCACAATTCTTTTTAATGGTTTGACATCATCAGACTGATCTAGATTTATTAAATCGATCGCATTATCATAGTTATGGGTTCCTTTATGTTCAGTTGGCAGTGGATCATGTTCATCCTCTGGTATGCTGTTTTCACTRAAGGATATTTGATCATCGTCTTCGTCATTTACCGAATAAGCTCGCGAGAAAGATGTCTGGGTATCACTTGGAAATCTCAAATCTGGCAAACCTTCTTCCTCGAGTTTTCTTGTCTCTCTCCAATGGCGGAGTTCTGTTTTGCGGTCAGTTGCTYTACCATTGCACCGAATACAAGGACAATGAACATGCCTATATGGTTTTTCAACACAACTACAGCTTGAAATATCTACTCTGTTCCAGGTAAAAATGTTTCTTCCGGACATATCTCCGATCTAGATCCGCCATGTTTACATTTTTAAAATCCCGCCAAATAGCCTCGAGCCCACGATTTTTGGTCAGTGAAACGCATGCGCTTCATGTTACTACCAAAGGAAGCCCAAGTAGTTAAAAAATGCGCGGGAATTCTCAACCAATCATTTTTTAGCTCATAATGATGCTATGGCTTAGTCCAATCAGGAAGGGGAATAGATAATAGTTGTTCATGTGGTGGTGAAGGCTCACTCCTCTGCCTCGCTGCCTGTTGATGTGCTTGCACTTCGTGTGGTAGAGATTTTGTCCTAGTCTAGTTCAGTCTAAAATATATTATCCACTTCAAGCTTACTTATTTCACAATGATCGATAGTCAGGATAGTCAACACCAAGATCGCGATGTTTCAATRTTGGACAGGATAAAGGATCTATTTGGAGAGACCGTTGCAAATGCATTTTCAGGTCAGTTGCAACCACTACATGTTGTCGTGCTATTAGCCTAACTTGTCTTAACATAAATATCTTATAAATTCAACCTCATCACAAGTTTTGCATGCTYTCTGTGCGAAATACATTGATGAAAACATTCATTTATGTTTTTAATGAAAAGAAAGCAAAAATAAAAGAAAATATTCTCACACCGTTGGTTTTAAGCGCCAAATTTTTAACCGAAAGAAAAGGAAGTAATGGCGGTTTATATAGACACGGGGTCGTTCACGTTTGGGTCCACCTCGAATTTGGATCGTTCAAAGCTAAGTGGGACAGTCTGCCGTCTTCGAATGAGGCCAGTTTCGTTGTTCCCGTGTGCGAGCGCACTAGCTGCCAATCTGACCGCGACATGAACGAACGCAAAATAACCCTACCCGTGAGAACGGGTCCCTAATGTTATTAGTGTTGAATACGTGTTCATTTCTCAATCTGTACATCTATATAGATCTACGTACTTTGCCGGTCATACATTTTCGTAATTTTGTTACAGATGAGGACATCAGAGACGAAGAAGCTATGAAGGAACTTCTAAAGAAGGAGACTGACGCGGCCATCTTTAAGGGTTTAGGGTTAAATTTCGGAAAGGTTGTGTGTGAAATTAAAGAAAGAGTTTGAAAGCCTCAAACAGCCATCAAATAAAGTTGGAAAGACAAAGCCATCTATGGCAGACTTGGCATCATTTGATGCTGAAACAAAAAGCATTTACCTTGCAAAGTAAGTTAAGTAAAGTGTTATTTTTAAATTAATTAAATTATAGCAACCCAGGTAGACACAAGCAGTTATAATTGT